CGCAGGGGTAAATGTAAACCGGATGGAATTTTCTTGCGGGAAAAGGACCTTTGCCCACACTTGTGGTGTGCCGGCGGGCCGCGGGCGGGCGGGCGGGCGGGCTTGCGCTTGGCGGGCGGGCGGGCTTGGGGCTCGCGTCTCAATGACCGTCTCTATCAGTAGCAGCCCGGAAGTAGACCAGCGGTGGGTGGCCGTCTGTTGTGCCTGCACCCGTCAACCCTGACTGTAGCATCCGTGTCAGTGTGCGGACCACATAGACATACGACATAGTTCCCACGCATTACAATCCAGGGCTCAGAGTCGTCAGACGGCGAGGAAGCGGGCGTCAAAGGCGCCCGCCCCCGTGGTGACCATCTCCGTCTCTTTGGCAGGCCCGCGCCGCAGGCCTCCCATGCGGCGCTTCTTCCCTCCCTGGTTGCTGACGACGCCGTAGCCAGCACCGGCGCCACCAGCCTCGGTCGGGAACGGATCCGCTTGGCCAGGCTCCTCGCGCACACCGCCGGGCGCAAAGCGGCTGCTTGGATGGCCCTGCTGGCTCCGACTGGCACGCTGGCGGGCCCCAGTCGCGTCGCGCGATGAGGCAGCTTCATCGCGACAGCCGCAGCAGTTTGGCCGGCAGCGGCGCGGGCAGCCGGTGGCGGCTCGTCGCGAGTCTCGCCGCCCGCTTCTTTGCTCCCGCCTCCGCCTTGAGCCTCAGTCAGGGAGGAGTCGGAGGCGGCCAGGGCGGCCGCGGCTGCCAACGCCTCCTCGGCCTCCCTCAGCTCGGGGTCCTTTGCCGCCACAGCGCGACGTGCGGCGGCGCGGGAGCCGGCACGAGGGCTGGGCAGCGCGAGTGGCGGCCGCCAGGGTCGGAAGTATGGTACCCTAGACGGAGCGGCCACTCTCGTCTCAAGAGACGCCCTCTCCCTCCTCCCCGCGGCGACCTCTGCCTCTGGAGCCCTCGCCCTCTCCTCGCTCGCGCTCGCTGCGGCGGGGCGCGCGCTACGGGGGCCTGCGGCCAGTGCCAGGAGGTCAGGGTGAGGGGAGTCTCGCTCCCCGCCGCCTCGTTCCGGCGCCTTCGTGGCAGGCCGGCGGCGCGCCGCCAATGGGTCCGACCGCGCTGGGCCTGGCTACTGCTGTCTTTCTTTTTGTTGTAACATTCT